TTTATAAATCAAAAACAAGCTTAGCTCAAATCTAGAACAAGTTCCAGAATAAGTCGTATAAAAAAGCTTTAATCAAGAGGAGTTTCACAAGCTGATTATGACTTTAAATTAAATTAAACCTTTTTGTATACTCTCTCATTTCTTCATAAATATACTTATATTTAGATTCAAGTGGCGGCTGGTAAAAAAATTCACTAATTTAGTAAGCCAATAGAATCTCAATTGCTTTCGGATTTTATAGCATTCGTCGCTATGAGACTATAGAATTTTTATGGGCCATAAAAAGCTATAGCTTAAAGCAGTTTGCACTAGCCATTCGCCTTAGTTTTTTGAAATCAATTAATATTAACCAAAATTCATAGAACTCCGCGTCTTGCTCATGGACGATATGCAACAATATGACGAAGACAAATCCAGGCCAATAACATCAATCAGCCGACCACTATGAGTTTTGAGCTCTTGGTTGTCTGCTCTTGGCTCTCGACTCTCGGCTCTGGGCGTTCTGATAAGCACCGCCGCTAACTCGGCCAAGGATCTGAAGCAGATTTCGCACAGACCCCGACTAGCGGTATTAATCGGCGGTATTAAAATAGTGGCCGCTGAAGTTCAGGGTCAATATCACAAAAGAGAAACGCCGATAATAAACGCGACGCGAATGACAAGCGAACGATAACAAATGCAAAACGGCTTTTAGTTTTTGTCTCGCCATGTGACCAATATGGAAATGGTAATGCTAAAGACCCGGAAGAGCTGCTGCACTGCATCGGCTTTGGCTTTGGTAGTGGCTTTGGCTAATATTTGGCCCGGCACTTAGCACGTGGGAGGGAGGGGCCTAATTGATTTAAGAAAGTGCGTGAAATTTCCCATCGAACGCTTCCCAGCGAGCTGGAAATGTGTTAATCCCTTAGTTTGCATAACTAAATGCCCGTAATAGAGACGGAATCGCCGATGGAACGGGGCGTGTCCCAGACTTAGGCCGGCCGATTCAGCCCAGCTCCAGCTCCATGACGTGACGGCGATAATAAATCAATTGTCTAGCGGTTTATTTAAAGCCAATTCGTGTGATGGCTAGGCAAGTGCACAGGGAGAAATATCAACAAAGTCGGTCAGCAATTGTTGCTGATAACTGGGCTATATTTTCGGGGTAATTTCATTTAATTAAACTTATCTTGATCTACAATAAGCATTATATTACATATGGAATTTAAAATATTTACTATAAAATCTTCTTAGTTTATATATATACTTGAATTATTTATTCAAAAATAATAGAATAAGAAATCATGAGTTTTCTACAAAGTTAAAAATAAAATAATAGATTAGAATAGAAAATAATAGTTCATTTTCTTTGAGATATTGAATAGTACTTATTCGAATGTTTAAATATGCTTAAATTAAACCAAAGCATAAAAATACCTTTTGTTTGACACATTTTTTTCCCTGTGCAAGTTTTTATTGTTTTCCTCTTTGCGTTTTGAGCTTGCTTTTTGCGATAGGATCTGCATGTTTTTTTTGGCAACCGGGAAAGGGTTAATAAACTTGTTCAAAATAAACCAAGAAAAGCCATCGCCGCCGCCGTTGTGTAGCTGCTGCCGTAAGCAGTTTTGCTTTCTTTTTAGCCACAAAATGGTTACCATACCCATTCGCTTTAATTGCTTCAAACTTGACCTTAGCACCAGAAATCCAAAAATCAGAAAAGTAACCAAAACGCCATTAACGCTACTTCGACTTGCAACGAGTGACGAAAGCGAAGGAAAAAATTAAGTATACGCCGAGCGGCCCGTGCGCCGACTGCGCTGCCCCCGCGACGTCGGCAGCGACGTCAGCCGCGAATGTTGGCCGGCGCGCGAAGCTCGTTCATTTTGTTTATTTATACAGCCGAGCGTGTAGAACTCCATATTAGTGTCTTCTTGGCGTTGGCCGCAGTAGAGACGGTCGAGTCCGAGTCTGAGTCCGAGCTTAAATCTGTATCCGAACCCCTGCCAGCTTCAGGCTACGGTTGTGCGACAGTGTGTGTGTGTCTGTGCCAGTGCGTGCGTGTTAGCCAAGTCAACAGAGGGAGTCCGCCGAACGTGCCTCAATAGAACCCAAAGAACACAGGTACGGAAGTGATGGAATTCTTTTCTCGGATTTTTGGGGCCAGCCCTGGCGTGAAAGTGTTGCATAAATTAGAGAGCCGTTTTCGGGGCTGGAGAAGTGGGCCAGAAGCCGCTCTAGGCTGGACCAACTCGGCTGCTGCTGCAACTGCAACTGCCACTGAGATACTGGCAATGGTCCGTCTGATTTTTCTCGTCGACCTTAACCCAATGCATCGCACATAGATTAAATGCTGAAAACTGGCTTGAGGAGCTGCAATTTTGCCAGTCAGCCAAGGCCAAGACCCTGGCTGCCTGGCTGCTGCATTGAGGCGGCCAAAAGTAAACGATTTGAACTTGTAATCGATTGCTATTCAATTTGCAGCTGCATCGCTTGGCGTCGAGCGAGCGGCCTTCGGGCCGCCAAAAAGCCCACACCTCGCGAAGATGACCACATTTCATGGTTAGGCAAACAAGTTAGAAGTCGGAGTTCCCACGAACAGGCCACGGGCCATATCCGTTACAGTTCCTAAAGATAACACAGGCACAGGCGGCCCAGCGGGCTTAGAAAAATCCAATTAACGGCGCAAATATTTGCCAAGTAATTAAAGGTTGTCAGAGACCGTCCGTCAGTCGACAGAGCCAAAAATTATGACACAGTTTATGCACAGGAAAAAAACAGATCATTTGCAGATAAATAAATATCAGCCGGTTCTTAGAGATCTATAGAAATGCAAATTTAATATATTACTTTAAATATTAAGGCTTGGCGCGTAAAATTTATTAATTCACTGAATATTTTATGATTTATAAATATATTTAGGGGAAGTACAAAGAACTTCCTACAAAGTTTACATTAGTACCACCCAAAGGCTATGGAATTTTTATTTTTAACTTTAAATTGTTTGCTTGAAATCTATACAATTTGAAGAGAGTCTAAGAAACTAACTCTCTACTGGAAATAAGTACTTTTAATTATCTTTTGAAAAATCAATATCCAATCCGATTATAGTTTATGATCTTTATTTTTCACGGTGTCAACTTAAGCCAGTCGCTGGATATAGGTACGGATTTGGGTGTATATGTGGCGTTGCTGTGGTTGCCAAGTGCTGGCTGACTCGGCTCGTTTCGCTGCCTCCTCTGTGTAAATGCCTCGACTGGCAGAAAAAATTAATTTACAGCGCTAAGCAAGCATGAAACCATAAAACATGTGCACTTGACACAGGCAGACTAAATGATTAACCTGTTGCACACGTCGGGGAAACAATGCGCAACACATCAGAAACCGAAACAGAGACAGACACGAAAATCCGACCCGACCCGATGCCACATACCCTTTACTCAGAACCCATGAATTTTGTGAGATATTCAGGTGCATCGCAACACCTATTTGAGTTGCAATGGGCCAACCTTAATGTATTCGGGAATTTTTTTTTTTCACATGGCTAATTGTTGTCATTGGCGAACAGACAAGTGCGTGTGAAAAAAAATCTGTGCTGCAACACCTGTAATCCCCTGGAAAAACATCCGCCCCACTGGAGTACAAAATGCACAGGAAAAAATTTGCTAGAAATGAAGAATTTATTTAATTAATTTAAATATTAACAAATAACAAATAATTTATTAAAACTATTTCATTATTCAAAGTCAATCTAAAAAGCTTTGTATAAAATATCTTATCATAAATTTAAAAGGTTAAATTCGATATTTCACTAAACACTATACATTTTAAAATTCTTTACTAAACACTTGTTTAATTTATCTTATTTTGTATTTGTGCCTCCCTTTTACTACCGTGTAGACACGTGGCTAAAAAACATTCGCCTTCTAAGCTCAACATTGCAAAATAAACATGCAAAACTTGCAACTTTTTAACAACATTTAAATCGCAACCACAGATACAGATACAAATAAACACGCCGGCCGATGAAAGACTAATGCCCCATCGGCCTTCATTAGATCTCGAATTAGTGGCAAATTAAGTTGTTTTTACCCAAACCTTTTATTTTTAGAGGCAAATTCATAAAAATTAACGCTTTTTCGGGTGCTTTTCCGCACCGTCCAGACGCTTTTGGGCATTTAGACAATACTTATTTGTATTAGTCACAGGCCCAAGGGAGGCAAATAGGAAAGACCGAAACATTTGGCATTATGGACAACCCGTGTTGGTGGCTGGGTAAATCCATATCCGAGTATCGGTACTCGGTACTCTATACCGAGGTTCTCCGTTCTCCGTTCTGATAGTGCTGACACGGCGTTCGACAAGCAGCTCTTAAAGGGTACAAATTCGCAAAAGCAAAATCAATTATGCATACAATACACATAATTTTAATGCGTGCGCGGCAGTCCTCCTCTGTTTCTGTGTCTGCGGTTATTTTTACATTTTGTTTTTTACATTTTATTTTATTTCCCCAACTGCGGAAGAGCTGGTGCCTAGCTAGAATAGAGGCTTAGCGGCCTCTGGATGTCCAAAAGTGTTGCAGAAGGTGCTCGGGGGATGGATTGAGCTGGGGGTTTCCCAAAAAGGTGGCGGGTGGCCCATCAACGTCAGCAGCAGCCCCGAAGGCAGCCAGCGGAACCAGTCGCCTGACTCAACCCGTCGACAGTTGGCGTCACATTTTTGGCCGTGATGATGATGATAATGATGATCACGGCGATGATGCGAGCTCACTTTTCCTGTCTCCAGTGTCAGTCTATTGATGCCAGGTGCCTTGCATACGAATGGGAACGGGAATGGGAATGTGCTTGCGATTTCGATTGGGAATGGCTTTGGCAATATGGCTATATGGAAATGGGAAGGCGATCGATTGCTCTAACCCTGACAGAGTCTGGGACCAGTCTCAGTCGCTGTCGATCAGCAGCAGTCGCCACATATCAATCATACGCCAAGTGTGTCCAATTAGCGGCGGAGCCAGGTGTTTGCTCTGTTCTTCGGGAAACTCTCAAGGCGAATGCTCTCCACGTCTAATGGCACGCCATGCAACCCGTCGCTGCAATTAGAACAGAAGCTGAAGCTCCCCCCAAGCTCCAGTCAATCGGCAGTCATTAATAGAGACCAAAACTTCTCGCAAAGCAGGCCCTGCTTACAAACTCGACCGATAGGTTGGACGTGAAATAAAATCAATTCAATACCGTTCTGGACTGGATATATCTATGCGAATTGGGCAGCTAATTATACAAGGCGATCTAACTAGTCGAGAATCTTCTGCTGCCCGGTGGACGACGAGTTCCGGTTCGAGTTGGCTAGGTCAGTGGTTAATGAAGAGAACACACACGGAAAATCTCGGCAGCGAGTTACATAAAAACGAGTTCCCGCGACGCATACACTGTAATTGAATACATTTTTGATAGGCCATTTTCAATCAAACTCTTTCCGCGTGCAATTTAAATAACAATGTGAGGCAAGAACAAGAAGCGAGGCCAACGGCAGCCATCCATCCACATGGCTAGAACATTAAGCCGGTGTCGTGAGTGTATGTGTGTGTGTGCGATTCGGAGATAAAGAGATTCGGAGGAGATACAAGATACAAAATGAATGCCAAAGTTGGACTAACTTTAGTGCCAAGGCAAGAAATTCAAATGAAGCCTTGGGTGCGACTCTTTTCAGGTTTCAAGCCATTGACTTGCGGTCGTGTCAGCGCCAAGAATCTAAGATCTTAAAGTCGTCTTCAGATTCATATGATGTTTGTATACATATATGTTATGATATATGGACGACATTGGAGTGCAACGATGGCAGCCAGCTTTATCTCTGTCCGGCGACTGCTGTCGTCATTCATCACTCGATTGGGGATAGCTCAATTGGCGATTTCTTCGCGGCTTTCATTAAAAAATCATTGGCGTATCTCGCCCAGAAATTCCAATGCAGCTCACGCTTCTCGCCTGCGCGGCTGCTCGGCTCCCCAGCGTTTTTTTTTTTTTTTAAGCTCTTCCTTAGCCAGCATAATCAACGCTCACGACACGAAACTCACAGCTAGCAACTCGCGATTCCGATTCCGAATCCGAAACCCATTCCGAGCTGGAAACGTGCTAAGCGTTCGGGATTTAGAATATATTTTCATTCAATATTTTGGCAACGCGGCGTGCGGACGTCAAGCTCTGAATTCTCGATTTTGGGCGAAATTTTCTAAAGCTGTCTCTTCCTTTCCTCGCTCTTTGCAGTTGCCAATTGCAGATCGAGTCAGCCACGATGACCACCTACATGCAGATTGTTGAGGAGCGAATCTCCGGCCTGGCCAAGGGCGTGGGTAAGTCTTACAACAGCCAGGAAATGAAATCTTAACATTAATATTATAAAATATTTATCTATCAGATGAGACGGTGGATAGCTGGTTCCTTATGAGCTCCCCGGCACCAGTAGTTGGAGTGGTGCTGGTCTACCTCGCATTTGTGCTGAAGATTGGCCCCGAGTACATGAAGAACCGCAAGCCGATGGACCTAAAGCGCATAATGGTGTTCTACAATGCCTTCCAAGTCTGCTACTCCATTTGGATGTGTCGCACGGTGAGTCCATAAAGCCACAAGGCGTCACAATTATTCAGAGCACCGATCCCAATTTATGTATTATTCATTTTTAATAAGCACCGTAGAGAAGTGCTTGTTTAACATACAAAATGATGGGCTAGGCAGTATTTGCATTACAAATTCCACACTTTTAAGCTAAATATAAAGATGAGATGCAAAAAATTGTTCTAAATTCAGTACTCGATTCGGCAATTGACAAAGAAAAAGCTATAAACTATCGTGGCTTTTGAATGAATGAATCTCAATTGATATTATGAATAAATAATTGATCTAAGAATCTGTAGGGTTCCCTAGATCAGTATCAAATATATATAAAATATTAATTCTCCAAAATAAATCTGTTATCACTATTTTTATTTCCGTTTCCGCAGTCCATCCGGGAGAGCAATGTGATGGCCTCGATCTTTTCGAAGAAGTGCGAGATTACCCGCACCCGGGAACAGACCTTGGCCCTGTACTCCGGCGCCTGGTTCTACTTCTTCTCGAAGATCATCGACCTGCTGGACACGACATTCTTCGTGCTGCGCAAGAAGGATAACCAAATATCGTTCCTTCACGTCTACCACCACACAGTGACGGCGCTCTTCTCGTGGGCCTACCTGAAGTACGTGCCCGGAGAGCAGGGCGTGATCATTGGCATCCTCAACTCCGGCGTGCACATCATTATGTACTTCTATTACATGGTGGCCGCGATGGGTCCCCAGTACCAGAAGTACCTCTGGTGGAAGAAGTACATGACCAGCATCCAGCTGATCCAGTTCGTCCTCATCCTCGGCTACATGCTGGCTGTCGGCGCCAAGGGGTGCAACATGCCCAAGACACTGACCTTCTTCTTCGTGGGCAACACCGTCATCTTCCTATACCTCTTCGGCAACTTCTACCGCAAGACCTACAAGAAGGCCAAGACCGTCGACGGCGCAGGATCGGCCACGGGCAGCAGTCTGGCCAAGTCCGCCCTGCGGGCCGCCGGCGGAATGGGATGCATGCCGCAGACGATGAACGTGGGCAACGGAAAGTCGGCAGCCTTCAGTTTGCAGAACTCGCTGCCAGGAAAGGCCTACATCGATCTGAACAACAACAGCGTGAAGCCGCTGAAGCTGGAGTGAGACCGAGAGCTAGAGGATTTCCAGGGGTTTCACTTAGCAATTACTTTCGTAGCGCGGGGCTTCAGAAGTTAGTTCGTAAGGTATCCGTATCCGTATCTGTATCTGTACATCTGTATCTATATCTGTGTTTCTGTATCTTTGAATGCAGGAGAAATGGCCAGCGTAATGTTTATGCCGGACAGGCGAAGATATTTCAACCCAAAAAGTAGCTAGAACCCTAAGTGTGCGAATGTTTACGTGTTTATGTTTTTCTAGCCAGAGTGTCTGTGTGTGCGAGCGAATGTGTGATAGAGTTTATTAATGAAATGCAGCCGTAAATCGTTTCTCGAAACAAGAACAAGAAAAATTCAATAAAACTTTGGTTTTTGTATATTTAATAAGGAGCCCAGCGCTCTGTCTCTGTTCTTTGCCGGCGCGATTCGGGTTTCACCGATGGGGGTTTTGGGTATTCTTTATTTTTCGGGTTTTCTGCACGAGGCTGGAGGTTAGATAACCAAAAAACCAGTTGGATCCCATTATTTATGACAGCATATGCGTGGCCAAATCGATTCCCGGGCCACGCGCACCTCCCGCCCGGCGGAATTATGCAGATCTGCAAGCCGCCGCCATTCAAACGGATAAGATATTCTCTGGGGCATAAAGAGTGATTAATGCCTGTCGATTAATCGATGGGATTTCATCTGCCAATTGTTCTAGGTAACTGCGTACGCGTGCTTGGCGCGATTATGCAACACGTTCTTCTGGCCAGCCAGAGAACTGGTCTGTGGCCCGGCTTAGACACCTTGGCGACGAATGGCAATGGGTGAATGTCGCTGCCAAATTAGAATTTCTAATCAATTTTTTCTCCCTCGCCTTGACTCACACACATGCCCAGCATCAGCACAGCACAGCACAGCCCGTTTATTTATGCAGATTTTTAAATATAAATAGTTAAAAAAAAAGAACTGATGTTGTTTGTGGCTTCCACCCATCGGAGTCAAAGTTCAAGGGCCTGCCCAGAGTCGTGTATTTATATCGATGGCATTACTATTTTCGCCACATTTGCATAGGTCAGACCTCTTTATTGGCTAGCAAAAGGCAAATAATGCCTAAAAGTATGCTCTCCTCCCGCCATTTTCGGTATGGAAATTTTTCAAAAAGGTTTCGCACAGGTTCTGATCTTCCTCTTCTCTGGTCTTCGGTCTTCAATCTTGGATCTCTGATCAATTCTATGCTGATCAGGCCATAAAACTGGTAACCAGAGATATAGCTCCGGTTTGGGGCCAGTTGAAGACAGACGACGACTTTTTCGCTCGGAGGTTCGTCTTTGTCTTCTCGTGTTTGTGGTCAAGATCAAGGTCAGTTGTCGAATAGAGGAAACCGGCTCTCGGTTCGATACTGTATCCGCAGCAACAACCCCACTCGAAGATGCGTTTTCACTTCCGCTTCGCTGTGGTTCCGTTTTGACTGATTGCTCAATAAAAGGCTGCGGAATTTATCAAACTCTTATCTCGGCCGTTCAAGGTGCCTCCGAAATAAGCTCTGGTGGTCAGCGTTCCCAGAGCCACGTAAAAATTGGACGTGCTGCATCACCATCATCAGCACCCCAAAGACCTGTTCTAGCCACGCCCATTCAAATTCAAATCACTCTTGGCATTACGGATGTTTTGGCTTCCGCCGCCGAATAAATGAAAAGATTGTTCTCAACATATAAGATATTGATTCGATTTAAATGAGCTTCTTGAGCAAAGGCTTCCTCGAGAGATTTATGTGAGGTTGAGTGAATGGGTGGGGCTAAATGGGAGATTCCTCCAAGTTAACTCACATATTAACCAAACTAAATTAAAAATTAAAATTGAATGACTCTGAAAATAATGAGGCAATCATTAAGATTGTTCTACGATTTTGATTACAGGAAATGGCTTCATCTGCAATATTTTCAAGGTCACAGCAAATGAAATCAGCAACTCTGGATCAAATTTTATGCAAAATATTATCAAAGAAGGTTTAAATATGTGCATAAAATAGTGCCTAAAAGTTTTAAAAAACATAATTATGATTACAAGTTGAAATTTCCTTAAAAGAGGATCAAATTTAAAAGTAATTTTAAGAATGTTTAAGCTATATCAATAAGCAATTTATTAATACCATAAAAGTCTCCATGAAAGCGCCCAAATAATATTGCCTTCAATTGATTCTTGAGTACCCTTAGAGACCTTCAAGATCTATGGTGACCTTAAGTTCTGGTCCCCACCCAAGTCCCATTCATTAAAAAAAGAATCATTCTCATTGTTGGTTTTTCAATATTTTTTGTAGAAAAAATTCTAGATTTATTTTTGTAAAATGTGTTTGAATTTATGGGGGTTTGCTATTCGCTATTTACTATTATTCTTCACTTCTCTTATGCCTACTTTACATACCACAAGTATATAAAATCTAAAGAAAACATATTCATATTCATATGCGTACCTACACTTATTTACACAACTAACGCTTCTTCTGCCTGTTTACTTAACTTAGTTCAGTTTTGGCCGAAAGACATACGACTTCTTTCATTTGTTGTCCGCCAGATGCGAACATCAAACGGAGCGAGCGATGATGACGATGGCTGCAAAAAGCAATTTCAACTGTTTGAACATTTACATAATGTGTGTATCGGTGTCCCCAAGTCTCGAAGACTCGGAAACCTCGTTTGCTCAAATACATGTATATATATTGTGTCTCGTTTCTGATTTTTGGCGGCGGATTGCTTAAGAAATTAGTCAACAAAGTTGCACATAGAACGTGGTGGCTCTCAGTGGTGTCCCGCTTTGTACGAGTATTGAGGGGGCGCCTGGTGGTGGTGGTGGTGGGTGTGGCAGCCTACAAGGCCTTCTGCTTCTGCTTCTGATCCTGCAGCTGCTCCACGGCCTTGTTGAGGTCCTTGGCGCAGCTCTCGTTGTTATTGTCCGCGGAGAGAGCCTTGGCCTTGGCAGCCGCCTGTTTCTTCTTGTAGGACTTCTGGTAGAAGTCATTGAACAGGAAGTAGAAGAAGACGGCGTTGGGCAGGGTGAAGCACACCGACCAGCGGGGATAGCCGCAGTCCGTGTACAGCAGCTGGGTCTGGTGGATGAAGGCGCAGCAGAACTGGATCTGAAAGGGGAAAAAGATTATTATATAGTTAGAGGTTATTTTAAATACTTTACGGATTGCATAATGAATTTTGTTTACTTTAAATATGCTTTCATTATGGTTAATTTAGTAGGACTTATTATAATTCAAATGGGGTTCACTGGCTTGAGTTTGTATATCTGAACAACTTAAGTTCATTACCATTACTAGTCTCGACACTCATTAAATCTACTAATTTCCAAGTCAATGTTTTTTATGAAGAAACTAAGTCGTCAAGTTAGAAGTTTGAAAAGCGAGAATGAGATCGGGGACTCAGAACACTACTCACCATCTGGAGGTTGGTGATGTACTTCTTCCACCACAGGTACTTCTGCATCTGAGGCCCGAAGGCGGACAGGAAGTAGTAGGAGTACATGATGATGTGCACGAAGGAGTTGATCCAGCCGATGAAGGTGCCGTGTCCGCCGGGATAGTACTTGCTGGTGCCCCAGCTGATCATGGGCATCACGGTGTGGTGGTAGACATGCAGGAAGGTCACCTGGCGGTCATTCTTGCGCAGCACAAAGAAAATGGTGTCCAGCAGCTCGGTTATCTTGGCCAGATAGTAGACATAGACGACGCGCGCCTCCCGGTAGGCCTTTGGGGTGCGGGACCAGTCCACCGGCTGGCATCGCCAGCTGTAGTACTGCCAGATGATCACGCCCTCGTACACCATCCACACGCTGAGGGCCACTTGGAAGAAGTTGTAGACGAGCAGGGTGCGTTCCAGCTTGAAGGGCTTGCGATCCTTCATGAACTTGGGACCCCAGGAGAGCACGAAGAACAGGTAGAAGGCAAGGATGCCCAGCAGCGGTAGCGGTGACTTGATCAGGAACCAGTCATTGGTCCGGGGATCTGGGGAGGTGGAAGTGGGGATTAGCTATATCAAAGATATATGCGGGCATATCACGCCACTTACCTGCCAGATCGGTGAACAGAAAGTTCCAATAGTCCACCTGCGTTGCGTTGACGGCTGCCATTTTAAATTCTTGTTGGACTCTTGCTCCCACAAATACGATTATATAGTCGCTGATCGCTTCGATGTGGGAATTAAAAATCTGCTAAGCACGCGTCGCAACGAACGAGTTTTGCGAAATCTAAATGGGGAAGAACGGCAGGGAGTCTGGATGAGTTCGGGTTCGAGTTCGAGTTCTCTATTTAAGTTATGCTAATGTCGCCAGCTAGTTGCTGTTGCCGAGCCCAGAAATGTATAAATAAAGACCTACAATGGCAATCAAACCCGAAAGAGTCGCTGTGTCTCGGTGACGGTGAAATGCGTGAAATTATCATGTAACAGTAACAGTAAATTATATTCATTATTATGAATTAAACAACCGCGGCGGCGCACAGCCGCACAACAGGCCGCAACAAATTGGTTAAGGTGGCCACCTCATGGTCTACGGTTGCCTCACAGCTGCTAAATTGGGACTCCGACTGCGAGATTCCAAAACCCCAAGAGATACCAAGGTACCGAGACGGCGTCTCACGTGTGGAGATCCCCTCTCACCCACCCGGATGGCAGCGTGAAAATTATGTTTGTCTGTCTGTCTGGCGAGTCTCTCAACAGAAGCAGCCACAGTCATTCATCGAGTGCTTGGCGATGGCACTCCACGATGATTAATCATCCCGAGAACCTAGATTCACAGACCAGGTCTTCGAAGGACCATTAGAGAGCCATCAAGCCAGCATCGAGCAGCCAACGAGCGCTCGCACCTACATATGCCAAAAGGCATAATCACGTTCGTTGACTTCGAGTCTCACACTTGAACTTGGCAAAGGCCGATTAAGAGCGCGGTAATCGAATAGCATTATGATTTCTTTCGTCGTTTTCGAGGCTATTCTGATCGGCTTCTTGGACTGACTGGGGCTGGAGGAGGGCTTGGAGTGTGCGAACAAATTGAAATAATAAATGAGTGAAACAGAAATACTTCCCAGTCGAAGGGCAAGTTGGCCAACACTCTTTGCGGTGGCTATCTGGTTTTTCAGCCATTTCCTGCACTTCAAGCCTTTTGAATATTATCTGCAACATTTGGCGCCGCAGAATCGGGGCGACAAATGGCGGCAATAACAGGTGCTAAGGTGCTAAACACCTGTATTATACATATATAATATTTATGTATGCACGGAAACGCTCCAAAAATCCAGTTTATCAATTTTCAGCTCCATATCATGACCTTGCCATAGTTTTATATTGTTTACTTCCAACTTCTGAGGACTGGGTGGGAATAGCCAGAGATCTGGACAATTG